AAACCAGGATCAAGAGTGGCAGATCCTAAGCTTCAAATGGCCCCAGTCCCAACACAGAAGGCTACAGTTCCGTGTCCCATGAAAGCCACAAAAGTATCTGGGGGCACTCCGCAACTCTGTTTTGTACTCTGTCCTTGGTTTGTACAGCCTAATTATCTCCCAAGAGAATCTCTGCCTGGTGCAACCCAGCTGAAAAGATTTTTAACTCTCACCTCCCTCCTTTCTGCTGGATACTTGGCAGGTTCTGAGACAGAATATGAATCTCCATGGCAAACCCTAAAAAGACCCACAGGGAAAGCATTGCTCAGCACACACCATGGTCATCTGCCTTCCTTTGCTTATCTAGCAACCTTGGCTGGGAAGAATAGTTTTTTCTTTTTAAAAACATTTCTCTCTTTTTTTTCTTTGGTGTTTTTTTTAAAATCCCTTTCTGTCATTCTCCTGGATGTTGAAGATGTTTTGTATTTAAATCTTCTCTGTGGTCCTATGGATCAAGCCTAGGGCCTTCAGTGCATTGGGTGGGCTCTCTGCTAATGAGGTACACTACTAGTTGAGTTGAGAGTAAGTATAGCAAACTCCAGTCTCAGCCCATTCTTGTTCAAACACTGGTAGATACGTCTTAAAGAACAAGAAGACAAAAATCCCTGAGTCATGGATCCTTCCACAGGCAGGGTCAACTATACCTACAAGATATGCTGGGGTAAAGGTGGCACAGAAATTCAGGGAGTGACCATCTAATTACTGGTCCAGTTTGAGACCCATACCACGAAAAGGAGCCCACCACTGACACTGCCTGAAGGGAAAGGACCCAGAGGCTGGACCACCCAGAATCCTAGGATAGAACCAAACATGACTGGCAAAAAAGTCAATGAAATGATTCCTAATGATATTCTGTGTATGCATAGATCATTGCCTAGCCCAACTGTCACCAGAAAGGCTTCGTCCAGCTACTGTTGGAAACAGACGCAGAGACCCACAGACAAACGCTAGGCAGACCTTGGGAAATCCTGTGTAAAGGGGAGGAAAGATTATGGGAGCCAGATGAGCCAAGGACACCACAAGAAAACACATAGAATTAACTAACTTGGGCTCATAAGGGCTCACAGAGACTGAACTCCAGGGAGCTTGTATATGACTGACTTAGGCCTTCTGCACATATGTTACAGTTGTGTAGCTTGGTCTTCTTGTGAGACTCCTCCTCCTACTGGATCACTTCATCCAGCCTTAATAGGAGAGGAGGTATCTTACTGCAACTTGGTATGCCATGGCTGGCTGAAATACATGGGAGACCTGCTGTTTTCTGAAGAGAAAGAAGGAGAAGTAAATGTGGGGGGGGGAGTTGGGGGAAGACTGGGAGGAGAGGAGGGAGGGGAAACTATGGTTGGGCTAGGAATTAATAAAAGAGAAGGAAACATCACAAATGAATACTCCTCTGGGTTGTGCTGGCCTCACTGAACCATAGTTACCAGATAAGATGGCCACCAGGAGGTTCAGAGTAACAAAGAAAAGGCAGGTATCGGGGGCTGGAGAGATGGCTCAAGGGTTAAGAGCACTGACTGTTCTTCCAGAGGTCCTGAGTTCAATTCCAGCAACCATATGGTGGCTCACAGCCATCTGTAATGAGATCTGGTGCCCTCTGCTATCATGCAGGCAGAAGACTGTATACATAATAAATAAATAAAATCTTTAAAAAAAGAGTGGTTTTGATAAAAAATCAGCACACAAACAAAACCGAATATTTATATAAAAAAGCTGCTAGAACTCAACCAAGAGATTATATTTAAAAACAAAACCTAAATAAATCAGTAACAAGCAACAGGGTTAAATCAGTAACAAAGTTTTCCAAAAAAGAAAAATCCAGGACCATATCTTTAAAAAAAACTCTTAATTTTATGCACGTGTATGTTTGTGTGTCTCTCTGAGCAAATACACACACACACACACACACACACACACACACACACACACACGTCTATGTGGATACCTACAGAGACCAGAACAGTACATCAACTGTTCCTCTGGAAGAGCAGCAAGTACTCTTAATCACTAACCCATCTCTCCGGCTCCTTTTCCATGTGTTAAAGACAGAATTATGACAGGTGCTTTTCAACCTAGTTGGTAGAATTGAGAGAGAACCCTTCCAAATCCATTCTATGAAGTCAGTATACTATTAGCAGCCTATCAAAATCTGACAAGGAGCAATAATGGAAACTATGGACCAGTACATTGGTTGAATATAGATGCAAAAATTCTCAGTAAAATATTTGCAAACAGAATTCAATGGCGCATTTAAAACATCACACCATGAACTTGAGCATGGTGGTGCACACCCATAAATCTATATAGGCTGAACCATGAGGATTGCCACAAATTTAAGGGCAGTTTGGTCTACACAGTATGTTTGATACTCTGTGTCCAAAAATATGCAACATGATCAAGTGGGTTTCATTCCAGGCATGAAAGGATGATTTGACATACAGAATCAATGAACATATCACATAAAAAGAATCAAGGATAAAAATAACATGATCATCACAGGTACAGAAAAATAATTTGATAAAATGTCACATCCCTTCATGATAAAGACTCTGAACAAATTAGATTTAGAAATATTACAGCTCATAATAATAAAGTATACATCTAAAAATGCATAGCCAATATTATGCTGAATGGGGGAAAACATTTCCTTTTAATCAGGAACAAAGTAATCTTATCTACTCTTATTCAAATATAGTAGTAGAAACTGTAGACAGGTAAATTAGAAAAGTAGAATTAAATAAAAGGCATCAAAATACAAAGAAGTAAGTAAAACTACTCCTGTTTTCAGAGGATATGATTCTATAAATAAAGAACCCAGAAGACTACACTAAGAGATTTTTAGAACCGATAAATTTTACACAATGCAAAATCAGTCAGCCAGTAAGCAGTAGCTTCTCTATTCACTAGAATGAGTTCACTGAGGATGAAATCAGGAAAGCAATTCCATTCACAATAAACATGCATGCACGCCCACACACACACACACACACACACACACACACAATGTTTAGGATGTAAAAGATATCTATGGTGAAAATTTATTAAAAATCTGAAAAACAAAATTGAAGAAGACATTTAAATGGTAGAAAAGCTTCTGGTGTTAACGGTTGGAAAATTTAATACCGTACCTCAAAAGCACATATTATTTCATACATGGGCTATAGAAAATAATGAATGAGTGAGGAAGTAAATGAATAAACAATGAAATAAATAAAATTTAAAACACCAAGTAGTGCTGAGATTATTGGGGAAGAAGGGAGTCAAGAAGAGTGGCTAAGAGGGTAAAAGAGTATAATGCAGGTGCTGAATATGATCAAGTTATATTTTAACTCAAAGCTTATTACTTTAAATGATCAAAGTGTATTTCTAAGAGCAAAGGAAAGGATGTAGGAAAGAAGAGAGGGGCTTCTGCCTGAATGGTAAGCCCAAATAGCAGAACACTATTGAAATATTCACATCTTCCCAGTTTCTAGAATCTGATACCAACTTCATCCTTATCTCTTTTCTTTTATTTGTTTTCATTATTCCCCTTAAGTACAGAATGTCTTTAAGAACATTGCTTCCATACAGGACATGCATTGAGTAGCAAATCTCAACTTCAGTTCTTGACAAAGCTACAGCCTATGAAATTAAATTTTTTTTTAATTTAGCCTAATATATATGTGTATGATCATAGTCATTATTTTGGTCTGAGTGTAGTGGCACATGTCTTTATCCCAGTTCTAGGGAGGCCAAGGCAAGCAGATCTCTGTGTGTTGGAGGCCAGGCTGTTCTACACACTGAGTTCCAGGTTAGGTGGGGAATACATAGCAAGAACTTGTCTCAACAAAACAAAAATCTTATAGCAGGGATTCAGACTAAAGGCGATAACAAAGAAGAGAATGTTCTAAGGAGAGAAATATTGGCATCAAGAAAGAGGTGATCACACCTCTTAATGAAACAGAAGGCTGCTCCAGGCGGGAAAATTAGGGAACCCTTTAAAACTCGAAGCCCAGCTGGAGGTGACAGGTTTACTAACAGTGACTTTTACTGTACTCGAGGCCAGTCTGGGGAAGAAAGCCATTACATCATCCCCAATACTTTGGAGTGCTTGATAACTTGTGCCATTTTGAGAGGGAATCATATATGAGCAACTCAGAGTACCCAAAAGCAAGGGTGGATAACAAGTCCTGGAGCCTGGGGACACCCTTCTATTGGATGTGAGATGGCCACAAGAGGGAGTCACGAGGGGGAGGAGATCCAGATGTGGCTGTGGGAGGCACAATCGGCTTATCAGTGGTAGCAAAGAGTCGAACTGCCTGCCAGTGACTGAGGAGACTGAAGGTGTAAATCTGTGCCTGGTATATTACTCTCTCTGCAGAGCTACTTCCCTGTCATAAGTGGTTTGTTGCCAGGAAGCACTGAGAATAATGAAACCAGATCAGACCCATTGCTTGATTCTGTATCCTTCTGTCTCTTGGAGGCTGGTTCAATGTTGAACCTGAAGGCATGAACACCCATGGACGGAGTTCTCAGTCATCTGGATTCTCTGCCTCGGCTGCAGGGCGTAGTGGCTGGGTTTTTCCTTGGCTCTCCTATACAACACAGCTTTGACATTTGCCACTCCGGTAGCACAAACTGGAGGATTTTTGGAGTAGGTGGGGAAAAGTTTGTGTGTGTGTGTGGAGGGGTGTGCTTGTCATCAGAAATGGCTCTAATTTCCCATAAAAGCAAAGCTTCTAAACTGAATATAGGCCTGGCACTGAGAACACATTATGAGTGCTAGAACGCTCAGCCTATAAATATTACCAACATGTGAAGTGGGAACAGGAAATACAAAGGACTCCAGCTACCAACCACTACTCAGCTAATGGATTCCACTATTAGAAGACTCAAAAAGATCATTCTTCAATGCCTTGTTGGAATTTTCTACATTATTATTATTATTTTCATTTTCTTAAAAAAAACCTTCTCCTTTTCTTGTGCCCTTTTAAGGTTGTCGCAGTACTTTAAGAGGCTAATCCAGAAGGATAAAAGAACTCTCCATGGGCTTTAACCCATGGAGGGGACTGTACATCTCCTCCTTGGATCCTGTCTGGAGTCACAGATGAAAAAGAGAAAAAAAGAAGGAAAAAAAACTTTTGTGGCCAGGTAGTGGTTATGCATCCCTTTAATCCCAGCATTCCAGAGGCAGAGGCAGAAGGATCTCCATGAGTTCGAGGCCAGCCTGATCTGCAGAGTAAGTTCCAGGACAGTCAAGGCTTTGTAGAGAAACCCTGTCTTTAAAAACAAAACAGAAAGAGAGAGAGAGAGAGAGAGAGAGAGAGAGAGAGAGAGAGAGAGAGACCTTTTGCATTTCTCTTTTCTTAGCCTGCAGAGTACCTTCCCATACCAAAGACACTAGAACATTAGGTGAAGGTTCTATGTAGGCACCAGATAGACCTCCCCATGTTCAATGAGTTGTGTGGGTTTTGTCTTTAGCAATGGGGCCTGAACAAAACTTTGATCTATAATCTGTGCTGCCTGAAAAATATGCTAGGGCAATGATGGCACAAAGCCTGTGGGAGTAACCAACTAAATGTCTGACTTGACTTAAGGCCCACTCCATGAGATGGAACCCATACCTGACACTGTTTGGGTGGCCAAGAACCAGAGACTTGATAACCCAGAGATCCAGTTTAAAACCTAATGTTACTGGTCTAAAATAAAAAGTAGCCATAAAATGACTCCTAATGATATTCTGCTATACTCATTAGGGCCTAATTCAGGCATCAACAGTGAAGCTTTCTCTTGCAGTAGATGAGAACAAATACGGAGACTCACAGCTACACATTGTGCAGAGAGAGAGACCTTGGAACACACAGCTGTAAATGGGATGTCTCCATCAAATGCCTTTCCTCCCAGCTCAGGGAACCCCACAGAAGAGGAGAAGGATAGAATGTAAGATTCAGAGGACAAGGAGGACACCAGGAGAACAGGCCCTCTAAATTAACAGAGCAAAGCTCATATGGACCCAAAGACTGAAGCAGCAAACACAAGGCCTCTACAGGTCTGCACCAGGTCCCCTGTGTCTGTATTACAGCTTTCCTGAGTATGTGAATGAGTGAGTCTCTGATTCCTGTGCCTTTTCTTGGGCTCTTTTCCTTCTGTTGGTTTGCCTTTTCCAGCTTTGATGTGGTGGTTTTTGTTTTATCTTATTGTATTTTATTTTGTTATGTTTGGTTATCTCTTAGAATCCTGTTCTTTTCTATGAAGAGACAGAAAAGGAGTGATCCAGTTAGGAGGAGAGGTGTGGGAAGGGTCAGGAGGGGAAACTTTGATCAGGATATAGTGCATGAGAAAAGAATCTATTTTTGATTAAAGGGGAACATTTTTTGTTTTTATTTTTTCTTACTACCTTTATCTAATTTTCCTTATGTATTTATTTTGTAAGCAGATTTTAAAATCCTTCTTTTTCTTACTTTCCTCTTTTTCTTTTTACTTTAAGCTTGCCTTCATCTTTCTGTGTTTTTCTATGTATCCCGCCATCAGCTCACTCTTTAATTATCAATACTTCATGTTTGTTGATTTTCACTTCCTAGTTTATTCCACAGAATTACTGTTCCTTACTTTTTTTTGATGGCTAATAGTGAGGTAGTAGTAATTCTTAACAGATTTTTATTGTGTTTCTGCATGTGTTTTTTTGTGTTTGTGGTGGTGTTATAGAAGTATCTTTTTATACTTGGAACAGTACTGGGGATTGAATAGTAAAAAGAAGGCTGACCATGAAGGAGATCCACATACAAAACCAAGGAAATAGTCATTCCAACAGATACACAAACTGCGACACAAAATAAGACATATGAAAGAGCCAGACACCATGACTCATCCCAGATTTCAAAACTCTTTGAGAGATGGATCCAAAGATAGTGAAGTAGTTGAAACTAAGATAAGATCTGAAAAGCCAGGTTTAAAAATGACCAGTGTCAGACTGGAGATCTGGCTCAGTCACTGGTTAAAGGCAATTGCTACTCTTACTGAAGGCCAGGGTTTAGTTACCAGCACTCAACATGGAGGCTCTCAATCATCTGTACTTTCAATTTCAGGGGATCTAATGCCTCTTCTAGCCTTCATGGGTACTGCACGTGTGTGGTGCATTTATATACATTCAGGCAAAGCACTCCTACACAAAATAAATATTTTATAAAAAATAAACAGTGGCTTCAAACAGGATTCATACAAATAGAAGAATGTAGTAAAGTTATCAGTTGAAGACTTAGATGAGAAATTGGTCAAGAAATCCAGTAAGGAGAAACACTCTGGTAAAACAGAAGATATGAGAATGAAATCTTAATATATCAAATAAAAACTTAATGGAAATCACTACCAATAGGACAAACCAGAGAGGAGGATAAAATACCAGGAACTGAAAAGAAAGTTGAATTATTTTATTAATACAGCAGCATTATATGGCAGACTGTTGGGCCCTTCCCACATAGGGTCTGCTGACCAGCTTGTGAGTAGGAGCTTACCTAGCAGGTAAATCCTGTTTTCTTCCTTGAAGGCCTGAGTGCAAGTTCCTGTTATCCTGTTATTCACCCATTCAGGATTGCCTGATGGGCCTGGGAACCTGAACTTGTTATCTGGGTAGTTTTCCCCCATCCCTGCTGACTGGTATATAAGCCCCCGCTCTTGTTGGAATAGAGAGCATTCTCTCCCTGCAAGAAAGACCTGCTGTCTTGTCTTTATTTAAATCCTCAAGCCCCTCGCCCTATACTGTGGAAGTGTTGTAGTGCAGGCACTACAAGTGGAGGTCCCACTGAGATAGGGAAAGAAGGGAAGACGCTGAAGGCTGGCCAGCATTTTCAATAAGGTAAGGAGTGGGTGTATTGAACATGGGTGCTGCTAGTTGTTACTCTCTTATGGGGGACCAACTGGTCCAATTGTTAAAAAAGCAGGGCACCAGTATCAAACATAAGACAGCAAAAGACTTCTTGAAAACTGTACATGAGGTCAGCCCTTGGTTTTTGGTCTCTGGTGACCTTAATATCCCTGACTGGGAGCAGGTGAAGGGAGACCTACTAAGGACATTACAAAAAGAAGGAGCAAATGCCATATCAATTGTTACTTTTTCTCTGTGGCGTCAAGTCAAGGAAGCACTTCTTAGTGATAATGTGGAGGTGAAAGAGCAGGTTGATGAAAAGAAGCTGCTTTTGCAGAGGCTCAGGACAAAGAGTCTGTTATGTCACTCCAAGCTTCTGATGTTTCTTCCTCTGAGTCCTCTCCTCTTCAGGGGCTGAGACTAAGGAAGGTGAAGCACTTCAATTCGAGAAGGACATCCTCAAATTAAAGCCTAAGCTTAGGAGATGCTCCCTTGAGCTATGTCCCCCTGCTGGGACTCCCGAGCATTCTAGCTCTCTGTCTTCCTTCAGCCCCTCCTGAAGAGCAGAGGGGTGGAGTGATATTCCCAGT